TATGAAAAGTCACAGAAGATCAAGCGTCGATGTTTTTAGTGTTGATACTAAAATTCTACCATCTTTCACCCAAAAATCTGATTTTTATTAAAAAATAGAGCTGTGTTTTTAAAATCACATACCATTGAAAACTCATTTCCTCGTCTTCTTTGCTACCAAGAAAGGTCATTTTTATGAAATCAAAAAGTTGCGTAATTCGACCTTTAGTTGAAGAATTTAGTTTAATCCCCGCCTCATAACTCAGTTTTCTCCAACAACCAATTTTTTCAACTATTCAACGCCTGCGGCATCTCCCAATCATCGCTTCCTGCTGTAAATTATCCTCAGCGGTATTCATCGGGTATCAGAGAGCTTGAACATAATGCTCGCTAGTGGTGCCTAACCCAGTTTTAACGGTGTTCTTTCTTCCGACTTTTTGCTAAAATCAAATAAAAAGTGAATTATTTCCGGAAGCTAGTTAGTCACTATTACAAAAGGGAAGATCTTATCTGCATTATGATTATTGTTTGATTGCAGAACTTTGGCGTAGAAAAATAAGATTGAAAAAATGAATCTATCATTCTCTTCTGTGTTATAACCTCAGGAAGAATAAGATGAGCGCAATCAGAGTATACAATTTGTTTGATCATATCGCCTCCAGATAAGAGATGATATCTCATTATGTAGCGTTAAAGAGTGCAATAGAGTTAAATGTCAACTCAAAACACTTTGATAAAGGAGTATTAAAACTTTTAAGAAACATTTTCTATATCCGAAGTAGAAACTTCCATTTTTCTATTTTTTTCTATCTGACTTACAAGAAAAGCCAAAATGTGTTAAAGGTTGTGTACCTGGCATCAGCCCAAGTTCCCGTACGTCACTGTCGTTCTCTCTTTTTCTTCTCACAGACTCATCTCGTAGCCATTGTAGAGTAGAATCGAGGTTTTCCAATTCGAATACGAACTGTTGCGCATTTGGTAAGTACCTGCAATTATAATTGCTTGAACAAATCAAAAAACATTTTTTTAGCAGGTAAACAGAAATCTCAATATGTACATGACCTCAACTGGATTTGTTACAATAAACAAAGTCTATATATGCTTATCGCAACTTACACGATAACCTTGAATTTCAACTGCAATTCGCCATTCGTCATTTTCTTCTTTGAGACCAAAGCTAGGACTGTGAATCCAAGTTCACCAATGGCTCTACCCTTGTCAAGTGGAGGTAGATCAAGCTCTATTTCTCCACTGTCATCCGCCATCAATAATTGAAAGTCATCCACATTATTACTGAAATTCGAAAAAAGTGGTACCGGATTAGGAAAGTGAGCCCAACTAACCTTAACACAACACCAAAATCCGTGAGAAAACGATAAACACAATATCCTATCACTTGACCCACTTTGGCAAGAGGTTGAACGGAAATCTAAATAAATCTTTATAGTATCTACTGGAAGAAACGGGTAATGAATATGTGACGACTTTGAGTGGTTATCTACAATGTATTGAGACAGCAATATTTACGTTCTATTTTCAAGAAATTAGGCAATTTGTTTCGACTTTCAAACTTTTTTTCCTGGAGTGTGATGGTTTGTTCACTTATTCGCTCAATCGGGGTCAATTTCATGGCATATCGAACCACGTGCCAGTGCAAGACGAAAATTCTATGTTTAGAACGGCAAATTCGGTCGTAAAGAGGTAAATAACAAA